GTGGACAATTAGGGAGGCACGGCAGAAATTCATCCCAAAGAAGAAGAACATGCTATGCGTAAGATGAGGCAACCATGGCTGACAAGGTAATTCAGGGTTAGCATAAAAGCAAACCAAAAAGCATACAACGTCAGTATTCACAGTGGAAGACACCATTAACACACCATAACTTCAAGAGAGTCAGGGGGCAGAGGTGAGCATTGTGACCATCACAAAACAGAAGGTATTTGGGAACCAAAAAGTTCTGAAGGTCGATAAACCACTCGGACCAGATGGACTACACCCCAAAGTTCTGAAGGGGCTTGCAGAGGCATTGGGAGCAATCATTCAGGAACCATTGGAGTCAGGGAGGGTCCCAGAGAGCTGGAAAATGGCTGATGGACCAACACTGTTTAAGTAGCGAGGAATCTATAGCCTGTGCTCAGTTCAATGGTGCAAATTTAGATTTCATGAAGAAGGGTATGATAAAATAGGGATAAGTCAGCATGGCTTTGTCAAAGCCAGGTCATGCCTGACAAATCAAATATAGATTCTTGGAGGAGTAACAATCAAGTTAGACAAAGGAGAGCCAGCCGATGTGATCTATCTGGATTTCCAGAAGGCTGTTGACAAAGTGCCCCACAGGAAACGTGCTAAATCAGATAAGAGCCCATGGTGAGCCCAGGAAAGGAACTGGCATGGAAAGAGGATTGGCTGACTAGCAGAAGGCAGAAAGTAGAGATAAAGGGGTCTTTTTCAGGATGGCAACTGGTGACTGGTGGAATTTTGCAGGCCTTTGTTGAGATAATAACTATTCAAATTATACGTTAATGAGCTGAATTTGATTGACTTTTTTTAGGCAGTAACCAAGAGAATTGATGAGGGCAGAGCGGGAGATATTGTTTACTTGGAATTTAGTAAATCCTTTGACAAGGCTCCACATGACAGACAAATTAGTAAAGTTAGATCACATGAGATTCAGGATGAGCTTACCAATTGGATACAAAATTAGTTTAACGGCAGGTGACAGAGAATGACAGTGGAGGATTATTTTTCAGACTGCAGGCCTGCGTCCAGTGGTGTTCCAAGGATGGTGCTGGGTCCACTTTAGCTTGTCATTTATATAAATTATTTAGATAATTTATATAAATTATTACAAGGCATGGTTAGTAAGTTTGCAGATGACACTAAGATTGGTGGTATAGTGCAGAGCGAAGAAGGTTATTCAGGATTACAAAGGGATCTTGATCAGTTGGATAATGGGCTGAGAAATGGCAGATAGAGTTTAATTTGGATAAATACGAGCAATTGGATTTTGGAAAAACAAATAAGGGCTGGACTTCGACAATGAAAAATGGGGACTTGGATAATGTTATAGAACAGAGACACCTAGGGGTTCACATATGGATAGAGTGGTTAAGAAGGCATTTACTGTGCTGGCCTTCATTGCTCAGAAATTTGAGTATAGGAGTTGTGATGTTATTTTTAGGTTGTACATGATGTTGGTAAGGCCTCTTCCGAAGTACTGTGTCCAGTTGTGGTCACCATGTAAATATTTTCTGAAATCTTTCAAGTTTCACAACATCCTTCCAATAGTGGGGAGACCAGAATTGCACACAGTATTCCAACAGTGCCTAACCAATGTCCTCCCAACTCCAATACTCAATGCACTCAAGCAAGCACACTAAATGCCTTCTTCACTATCCTATCTACCAGTGACTCCACTTTCAAGGAACTATGAACCTGCACTCCAAGATCTCTTTGTTCAGTAACACTTCCTAGGAGGTTACCATTAAGTGTATAAGCCCTGCCCTGATGTGCCTTTCCAAAATGCAGCACCTCACATTTATCTAAATTAAACTCCACCTGCCACTCCTTGGCCTATTGGCCCATCTGATCAAGATCCTGCTGTACTCTGAGGTAGCCTTCTTCGCTGTACACTATACCTCCAAATTTGGTGCCACTTGCAAACTTACTAACCATACATCCTATGTTCACATCCAAATCATTTCTCTAAAGTGAACCCAACACCCATTCCTGTGGCACACTACTGGTCACAGGCCTCCAGTCTGAAAAGCAAGCCTCCACTACCACCCTCTGTCTTCTACCTTTCAAGCCAGTTCCTCATCCAAATAGCGAGTTCTCCCTGTATTCCGTGTGATCTACCCTTGCTAACCAGTCTACCACAAGGAACTTTGTCGAACGTTGTTTCTAGGAGTGGAGGGTTTGAGCGAGATGGAAGGGCTGGATAGTCTGGGACATTTTTCACTGTAACCTAGGAGGTAGTTGGGTGACCTTATAGAGGTTAATAAAATCATGAGGAGTATAGATAAGGTAAATGGCAGGGATCTTTTACCTTGGGTGGGGGATTTCAAGACTAGGGGCTATATTTTCAGGTCTTGGAGTCAGACAGCACTGAAACAGACCCTTCAGCCCAACCAGTCCATGCCAAATATAATACCAAACTAAACTGGTTCCACCTGCCAGCTTCTGGCCCATATCCCTCCAAATCTTTCCTATTCATGTATCTATCCAAAAGTCTTTTAAACATTGTAATTGTATCCGCATCCACCACTTCCTCAGGAAATTCATTCCACATGCGAACCACCCTCTTGTATAAAAATTGCTTCTGCTGTCTTTTTTAAATCTCTCTCCTCTCACCTGAAAAATGTGCCCCCTAATCTTGAAATTCCACAATTAGGGAAAGACAACTAACCATCAACTCTATCTATACCTCTCATTATTTTATAAACTTCCATCAGGTTGCCTCTCAACCTCCTGTGCTCCAGTGAAAAAAGTTCCAGCCTATCCAGCCTTTCTTTATAACTCAAACTTTTCATACCGGCAACATCCTGGTAAATCTCTTCAGAACCCTCTCCAGCATAATAATATCCTTCCTATAACAAGGTGACCAGAACTAGATACAGAATTCCAGAAGAGGCCTCACCAATGTCCTGTACAATTTCAACATAATTTCCCAACTCCTGTACTCAAAGGGCTGAGCAATGAAGCCAAGCATGCCAAACATCTTTTTAACCACCCTGTCTATATGCGATGCAAACTTTAAAGAATTATGTACCTGTACCCCTCGGTCCCTCTGTTATACAACACCACCCATTACCCTACCATTAATTGTATTTGTCCTACCCTTCTTTGTTGTACCAAAATACAATACTTTGCATTTATGCAGATTGAATTCCATCTGCCATTTTTTAGACCATTGACCCATTTGATCAAGATCCCTTTGTAATCTTAGAAAACCTTCCTCACTGTCTGCTGTGCCACCAATTTTGGTGTTGTCCACAAATGTACTAATTGTGCCTTCTATATTCTCATCCAAACCAAATACATAAGTGACAAACAAGCAAGGACCCAGGATTGATCCCAATGGAACACCGCTGGTCACAGGCCCCCGGTCCAAAAAGCAACCCTCCAACATTACTCTCTGTTTCCTACCATTAAGCCAATAATGTATCCAATTGGCAAGCTCACCCTGAATCCCACATGACCTAACTTTGCTAATTAGTCCACCATATGGAACCTTATCAAAGGCTTTACTAAAATCCAAATAAACAATGTCTACTGCTCTGCCATTAACCACCTTTGTGGTAACTTCCTCAAAAAAACTCTCTTTTTGTGAGACACAATTTTCCTCACACAAAACCATGCTGACTAGCCCTAATCAATTTTTGCCTCTTTAAATGTCCATAAATCCTATCTTTCGTAATCACCTCCAGCAATTTACCCACAATCGAAGTCAGACTCACAGGTCTATAGCTCCCAGTTTTCTCCTTACAATCTTTCTTAAACAAAGGTACAACATTAGCCACCCTCCAGTCATCAGACACCTCGCCCATAGATATAGATGATGCAAATATTTCTGCAAGGGGTCTTGTAATTTCCTCCCTTACTTCCCACAACCTTCTTGGACACATTAGATCAGGTCCTGGAGATTTACCCACCTACATATTCTCCAAGACCTCCCAAACTTCCTCTTCTGTAATGTAAACTGTTTTTCAAACATCAAAGTTTATTTCTCTACATTCTCTAGACTCCATTTCTTTCTCCACAGTAAAAAGTGACGCAAGACATTCATTTAGTATCTCTCCCATCTCCTGGGGTTCAACACAAAGACAACCATCTCCTTGATCTTTAAGAGCCCCTTCCCTCTCTCTCTACTTACCCTCTTGCTCTTAATACATTTGTAGAATCTCTTTGGATTATTTTAACCTTATCTGCCAACACTATCTCATAGCCCCTCTTTGCCTTCCTGATTTCTCTCTTAAGAATGCCCTCACACACTTTATATTGATTAAGAGATTCAATTGAACCAAGTTGTCTATATCTAAAATAAGATTCTCTTTTATTCTTGCTTAGACCGTCAATATCTTTACTCATCCATTGTTCCTTAAACTTACCAGCCTTATCCTTCACTCTAACAGGAACAAACTGCTTCTGAACTCTTGTCATCGCACTCTTGGATGCCTCCCAATTGTCTGATGTTCTCTAAATGTGAACAGTCGACTCCAATCAACTTTTGAAAGTTCCTTTCTCATAGCACTAAAATTTTTGCCTTGGCCTGACGCCAATTAAAAACTGGAACTTTTATGGAAGGCTTATCCTTCTCCATAACCATTTTGAAACTAATAGAAACATGATCGCGAGGCCCAAAGTGTTTTCTCCACTTTTACTTCAGTTACTTGCCCTGAAATATTGCCCAAAAGAAAATCGAGTTTTGTTCCTTCTCTCGTAGGATCATCCACATATTGATATTTTAAGTTTTCTTGAACAGATTTCACAAATTCTTCACCATTCAAACCTTTAACACTATGGTAGCCTGAGAAAATGTGTGGAAAACTAAAACCCCCATTATTACAATCTTAGTATGCTTGCATGTATCTGAGATCTCCCGACATATTTGTTTCTCAATTTCTCTCTTACTATTGGAGGGCCTGTAGTACAACACCATCAAAGTGATCCTTCCTTTATTATTTGTAATTTCTACCCATGTATTTTCATAGGACTACACAGTTCCACAGGATGCACACTGAGACAAACATCAACTGTGGCTGGAAGACCATCAACTCAGTGGAAGATGCTCTTTGGTCTGCCCGAACCTTGGTCTTCCAGAATAAGGAGTTGGCCCTGATTGAATGTTGCAGACTGGCACATTCCATGGTACAAGGTTCTGAGGGACGCAGCACAGCTTGGGGCAGCCACCACCAAGGAGCAGTGGGGAAAGACCACTGACTGAGATCTTCCTGCTGAAGGTAAATGGGGGCCCATTCAGTTATCAGACCCAGTGTCTCAAATATGTGTAAATATTGGTATTGTATGAGTGAGAGTTGGATAGAGTCAAAGCTCAATGTATTGTTTTGTTTATTTGATATGCAGCTGTACAGAACTGATCTGCATTTGTAACAATTTGTATACGTACAAAGATTTATAAAGAATAAATAAAGTGTATTTCAGAAAGAAAAAAATTCTGGGAGCAGTCAGCTAAGTCAGGAAGGTCCCCCCAGTGGTAGTTAGTTAGACTAGTAAGTAGGGTTAGATCAAATGAGATCCAGGGCGAGGTTGGCAATTTGACACAAAATCAGTTTGACAGTAGAATACAGAGGGTGGTGGTCGAGAGTTGCTTTTCAGATTGGAGACGTGTGACCAGAGGTGTGCTGCAGGGATTGGTACTGGGTCCAGTGTTATTCATCATTTATGAGAATGATTTCGATGAAAATATAGGAATCATGGTGAGTCAGTTTGCAAATTGGTGGTTATAGTTGACAGTGAAGATCAACTATGCCGAGGAATGCAGATGGAATTTAATTCAGATAAATGCGAGGAGTTGCACTTTGGTAAGGGAAACCAGGGCAAGGCTTACATAGTTAATTTAATTTGGTTTGGTTTGTTGTCATGTGAAAAGCTTTGTTTGTGAGCAGTACAGGTAGATCATAGTATGCAAGGACATGCAGAACATAGGGTGAAAAAACCTGGTCAGAGTGAGGCATTCAGGTTACACTGCACAGGGCATGTGCTAGGCAAGAACAACATTAAAAAGATCAACGTTTTTGAAATCAGAGAGTCCATGCATCAGTCCAATAATGTCAGGGAAGAAACTGTTCCTGAAACTGGTGGTGCATGTGTTCAAGCTTCTGCATCTTCTGCCTGACAGAAGACGTTGTAGGAGAGCATTACTGGGATGGGATGAGATTTTGATGATGTTGGCAGTCTTTCTGCAGCAATGAGAGGTAAATGGAGTCCATGGACAGGAGATTGGCTTCTTTGATGGTCTGGGCTGTGCGCACAACCTTCTGTAGTTTCTTATGGTCTTGGGCAGAGCAGTTGCTGTACCAGGCCGTGATGCACTCAGACAGTATGCTTTCTATCGTGCACCTGCATAAGTTGCTGAGCGTCCTTCTGGACATGTCAAATTTCCTCAGCCGCCTGAGGAAGAGGAGGTAATGGTAGGGTCCTGGGAAGTGTTGTGGTACAGAGAGACCTTGGGGTGCAGGAATATAGTTCCTTGAAAGTGGCATGACAGGTAGACAGGGTGGCGAAGAAGGCTTTTGGTACACCTGCCTTCATCAGTTACAGCATTGAGTGCAGGAGTTGGGATGTCATGTTACATCTCTACAAGATATTGGTGAGGCCAGAATTGGAGTACTGCATACAATTCTGGTCACCCTTCCATAAGAAGGATGCTATTAACCTGGAAAGGGAGCAAAAAAGATTTCTAAGGATGTTACAGAGAACTATAGGTTTTGAGTTATGAGGAGAGATTGGGTAAGGTGAGACTTCTTTCCCTGGAGCTCAGGGGTGACCTTCGAGACATTTATAAAATCTTGAGGGTTATGGATGAGATGAATAGCCCAAGGTCTTTTCCTTAGGCTAGGGGAGTCTAAAACTAGAGGACACAGGTTTAAGGTGAGAGTGACAAGATTTAAGGGGGACCTGAGGGGCAATTTTTTTCACACAGGGATGTTGCATACATGAAATGAGCTGCTGGAGGAAGTGGTAGAGATGGATGCAATTAACATTTAAAAGATGTTTGGGCTGGTACATGGATTGGACAGTTTAGAGGAATAGAGGCCAAATACAAGCAAATGGGACTCGTTCAGTTCAGGAAACCTGCTTGGCCTGGATGAGTTGGGCTGAAGGGCCTATCACTGTGCTGTATACCTCTATGAATCAGATTCTATGACTCTAACTAGAGAAATTCGATTGGGGATGACTGTTTCTGAGTCAATCCACATCTGACAGGTGGGAGTCTTTTAAAACCCAGTTGGTCAGACTTCAAAACAAGAATGCTCCTGTGAGGATGAAAGTTAAGGATGACAAAATTCTGTAACCTTGGATGATGAACAATGTTGTAATTTTAGTTAGAAAGAATATAATGTTTCAGAAAAAGGCAATCAGACAAGGGCCTTGCAATATGAAGGAAATAGAAAAGAACTTCACAAAGAAATTAGAAGACCTAGAAGGGGCCATGAAATGTCCTTGGCAAGTAGGATTAAGGACAGTCCAAGCTGTATTGTATGCATTTTACAAGCAAGAGTGAGACTTGGTGAAAAAGTAGCACTGCTCAAGAACAAAGGAGGGAATTTGTGTGGAGTCACAGGAAGTGGGTAAAGTCCTTAATGAGTATTTTGCAACAGTATTCACCAAGTAGAAAGTCATGGATGAAGCTCAGTTTAGAGAAGGACTGTTGATATTGTGGGCCATGTCCATATGAAGAAGGAGGTGGCGTTGGGTACCTGGAAAAATATTAAGTTAGATAAATTCTCAGGGCCTGATGAGATCTATTCCAGGAGATGGAGGAAAGCAAGGGCTAGGTTTATGGATTGCTGAGGCCTTTACAGAGATCTTTGTGTCCACTTTAGCCACAGGTGTGGGCCCAGAAAACTGGAGGAACCATTGTTGTTCCTTTGTTCATGTTAATCTTCAGGGTCAATGCAGGGACTTCTGTTGTTTGTAATGCATATAAATAATTTGGATGAAAATGTCAGTGGCCTGATTTGTAAATTTTGCAGATGACATGAAAATTTGGATAATGAGGAAGCATACTAAAGGATGCAGCTGGATACAGGTCAGCTGGAAAGTTGAGCGGAGAAATTTCAGATGGAACTTAATCCGGACAAGCGTGAGGTGATGCATTTTGGGAGATGAAATGCAAAAGGAAAGTACATTGTAGATGGCCAGACCCTAAGGACCATGGAGATACTGAGGAGTCCAAGTCCATAGCTGCCTGAAAGGCACTGCAACATAAAGTGGTTAATAAGGCGTATGACATGTCTGCCTTCATCAGTCAGGGGATTGAGTACAAAAGTTAGCAAGTCACACTACAACTGTATAAGTCAGACCACATTTGGAGTATATGTGCTGTTCTGGTCGCTGCACAATCAGAAAGATGTGGAGGCTTTGGAATGTGTGCAAAGGAATTGACCAGAATGTTGCATCGACTAGTGTACTGGCTATAATAGAATGGGTGGATGGAAATGTCAAATACTAAAGGGCGTAGGTTTAGGGTGAGGAAGGAAAGTGTTGTTTTTACACAGAGGGTAGGAGGTGCCTGGAACAAGTTGCCAAGGGAGTTGGTAAAAGCAGATACAACAGCAACATTTAAGGGGAATTTAGACAGACACATGAATAGGCAGTGAATAGAGGGATATGGACTATGTGCAAGCAGATGGGATTATTTTAGAATCGCATCATGGTCGGCACAGACATGATGGGCTGAAGGGCCTGTTCCTGTCCTGTACTGTTCCATGTTGTTGAGAAAACTGCAACAGCCAGTCTGTATTTTTCTTTATTCACTTATCTGACATGGAAATCGCAGGCTACCCAGCATTTATTGCTTGTTCCTCATTGCCCTTGAGAAGGTGGTGGTCCCTTAAACCACTGCTGACTATCTGATGTAGGTCTGACCCACAATGCCGTTTGGGAGGGAATTCTAGGATTTTGACCTCGTGACACTGAAGGAACAACGATCTATTTCCAAGTCAGGATGGTGACTGGTTGGGAGGGTGTCTTGGAGCTCCTGGTGTTCCCATGTGTGCACTACCCTTATCCTTCTTGATGAAAGTGGTTGTGGGTTTGGAAGGATTTTTGGTGAATTTCTGCAGTGCATCTTACAGATGGGGCACACTGCTCCTACTCAGCATCAGTGGTGGAGGGAGTGGATACTTGTGCATATGGGTTGCTTTGTCCTGGATGGTGGCAAACTTTGAGCATTGTTGGAGATGCATGCATCCAGGCAAGTGGGGAGTATTCCATCACACTCTGAACTTGTTCCTTGTAGATGGTGGACAGGCTGTGGGGAGTCAGGAGGTGAGTTTCTTGCTGCAGTATTATTAGCATCTGACCTGGTCTTGTAGCTACACTATTTGTATGAAAAGTCAAGTTCAGTTTCTTGTCAATGGTAACCCCCAGGATGGGGGTGATTTAGTGACAGTGATTAAATTGTCTCTTAGTGGACATGGTCATTGCCTGGCATTTCTGTGGCACAATGTGACTTGTCACTTGGGCTGAATATCTGGATATTGTCCAAATTTGTTGCATTGGAGCATGGACTGCTTCAGTACCTGAGGAGTTACGAAAGGTGCTCATCATCAGGCAAACATTGCCAGCCCTGACCTTAGGATGGAGGGAAATTCGCTGATGAAACACCTAACAATGGTAGGGCCTTGGAGACTAATATGAGGAACTCCTTGCAGAAATGTTGGGTTGGTGGCACAGTGACTCAGTGGTTCAGTGGTTCGCACTGCTGCATGACAGTGCCAGGGACCAGCGTTTGATTCCACCCTTGCGTGACAATCTGTGTGGAGTTTGCACATTGTCTCTCTGTCTGTGGTTTCCTCTGGGTGCTCCAGTTTCCTCCCATAGTCCAAAGATGTGGTTAAGTAGATTGGGTAATTTAGCATGTCCATAGTGTCCAGGAATGGTCCAAGGGGATTAGTGATGAAGGGGGGGGGTGGTAGGGGGGGGGGGGGGTGCGGGGGGGAGTGCTGGCCTGCGCTTCGGTGGGTCAGTGTGGAACAGATGAGTTGAATGGCCTGCTTCCACACTGTAGGGATTCTATGATGTCCTGGAACTGAGATGGCTGACCTCAAACAAGAAGGGGATAGAGAGTTTGAGGAATGGTGGTGGTGGGGAGGAGAGAAAGATAGACTGGGAAACATCCACCTACTCTCACCACTCCTTCGGGCCCTTAGGAGACAGAATTCAAATGGCCACCATACACCTCTTTTCAGCTGTTTACCTCAGGTTAGTTCAGAATGAATGCTTTACAGTCACAGTGTTCATTTTCCAAATGTGTTCACAGCCATAAGGCGTTACAGTCTCTGGTTTACTCTCTGTTCCTGTATCACTCTCTTTCTTCTCTCTCTCTCTCTTTCACTCTCTGTTGTAATCTCAAAACACATCACTGAGCGGCAGACTGACTTCAAAGAGTGCAGCAAATGCAAACTTTTCCTGGGACTTTGTATCAAGTGGTAACCAATATTCATTTGATAGATGTAAATTGTGAAGATCTTCTGTTCAGGGCTGGACACAAAATGCGGTGCTCTTTTGGGTGATTTTATCTTACTGTGTAGTCAATCGTCTTTTGAACGGTCTTTTTAACTCGTCATATCAACAATTTGGTGACAGCCAACCATTGTGCAGTTTGTGGTTTGGACAGGCGTGAAGTGTATATCAACACACAATGCAGATGGTCCTGAACTTTCCATCTGCAGACCAGTCTTGTTCTAATGTTGCAACACTCCCTGCTGTTACCATATTTTTAACTAAACTACTTCTCCCTCTAATCCCTCTAAATTATTTTTGTTCTTTATTTGTCAAAACTACCTGCTTCAACTGGTGTTTCCCAACGTTCCATCTCTGTGAGTACATCCATTCTCAGTACTGTACTCTCAGAGTTCCTGCACATCCAAGTCACAAGGGGATCATTGAGCCATCTCTCTCTCCTAATTGCACCAGACTCTTACATGCTTCTGTTTTCTTCCCCCTGTGCCTTGTATCCAAATTTTATGTTTAGTGAGTGGCAGATCTAAATCTCTAACTGACACTGATGTTGCTGTGTCTATTAATGCTTTACAGTGCAGCCCTCTCTTCATGCTTCTTGTTTGGAGCAGTGGGAGCGCGAGGCAGGATGCCGACGGGAAGGTAAGGTTGTTTTTTTGTCTTATAAAAACTTACCTCATGCAGCAGTGGCCTTCTTGTTTTCAGTGGCGGGTGTGTATAGAGAACGCGAGCCAGGAAGGAACTAATATATTCCGGCATTGGCTCAACCCAAAACACTACACGTGTAGTGTCTCCCACCCATCCTCCTCCTCTAACCAAAAAAAAAGACGGTGTGGAGGGTCGGTAAGGGTAAGGCTTTTTTTAAAATTCTTCTGGAAATCTAGAGGAGAGGGAATGGAAGCTAGGGCAATTGCATGCTCCACTTGCAGGATGTAGGAGGTAAGGGTCACTGCTGGTGTCCCCTCTGACTTCACCTGCGAGAAGTGCACCAAACTCCAGCTCCTCAAAAACCGTGTTAGGTAACTGGAGCTGGAGCTGGATAAACTCCGGATCATTCAGGAGGCTGAAGGGGTGATAGAGAGAAGTTATAAGGAGATGGTCACACCCAAGGTACAGGAAAAAGGTAGCTGGGTGACTGTCAGGAAGGGAAAAGGGAACAGGCAGACAGTGCAGGGATCCCCTGTGGCCGTTCCCCTCAATAATAAGTATACTGTTTTGGATACTGTTTCCGGGGACGACCTGCCAGGGGAAGGCCACAGCGGACAGGTCTCTGGCACTGAGCCTGGCCCTGTGGCACAGAAGAGAAGGGCGGAGAATAGGAGAGCAATTGTAATGGGGGATTCAATAGTAAGAGGCACAGACTGGCGCTTCTGTAGACGCGAACGAGATGAATGGATGGTATGTTGCCTCCCAGGTGCCAAGTTCCATGATGTTTCGGATCATGTCTTCAAGATCCTTAAGGGGGAGGGTGAGCAACCAGCAGTCATGGTACACATCGGTACCAATGACACAGATAGAAAAAGTACTGAGAATGTGAAAAACGAGTACAAGGAGTTAGGTTGGAAGCTGAAGTCCAGGACAAACAAGGTAGTTATCTCTGGATTACTACCAGTGCCACGTGATAACGAGGTAAGAAAGAGGGAGAGAAAGTGCAGCTAATCACGTGGCTGCAGGGCTGGTGGAGGAGGGAGGCCTTCCATTATGTGGATAATTGGAGCACATTCTGGGGAAGGTGGGACCTGTACAGTAAGGATGGGTTGCACCTGAACCGGAAGGGCACAAATATCCTGGGAGGGAGGTTTGCTCGAGCTACACGGGATGGTTTAAACTAGATTGGCAGAGGATGAGGTGTTCAGCCTTCCAAAAGACACAACAGGGAGTCAAGCTGTTAATAAAAAAATGCGGTCGATGGAGCGTAATTGTGGACACAGAGATGGTTTGAGGTGTGTATACTTCAATGCTAGAAGTATCAGAAATAAGGCGGATGAACTTAGAAAATGGGTCAGTACTTGGAACTACGATATTGTGGCCATTACAGAAACTTGGGTAACTCAGGGACAGGAATGGTTGTTGGAAGTTCCGGGATTTAGATGCTTTAAAAGAAATACGGAGGGTGGAAAAAGAGGCAGGGGAGTGGCATTGCTAGTCAGGGCTAGTACAGCAGCTACAGAAAGGCAGTTGGAGAATGATATGTCGACAGAGTCAGTTTGGGTTGAGGTCAGGAACAAGAAAGGAGCAGTCACTTTGTTGGTTTTTTTTTTGTTACAGACCCCCTAGTAGTTGCAGAGAAGTGGAGGAGCGGATTGGGAGGATACTGGAAAGGTGCAGAAGTCACAGGGTTGTAGTCATGGGTGACTTCAACTTTCCAAATATTGATTGGAAACATTTTAGTTGTAATATTTTAGATGGAGCGGATTTTGTCCAGTGCGTTCAGGAAGGATTCCTGACACAGTATGTAGATAGACCAACACGAGGAGAGGCCACTTTGGATTTGGTGCTTGGCAATGAACCAGGCCAAATGTTAGAC